AGAATCCGAAATGGGATCCATGCAAGAAAAAAAAGTTTGGACTTTGGTAGATTTACCTGATGGTGTTAAAGCCATTGAGTGTAAATGGGTTTTCAAGAAAAAAACAGACATGGATGGTAATATAGTGATATACAAAGCTAGATTGGTGGCGAAAGGTTACAAGCAAATTCATGGTACAGACTATGACGAAACCTATTCTCCAATCGCAATGCTTAAGTCCATTCGGATTCTCCTAGCAACTGCCGCTTATTATGATTATGAGATTTGGAAAATGGATGTGAAAACAGCTTTTCTTAATGAAAATATCGAAGAGGATGTGTACATGACACAACCTGAAGGTTTCACAGCTCCTGGAAGTACTAGGAAAGTATGCAAGCTTCATCGTTCCATTTATGGTTTGAAGCAAGCATCTCGGAGTTCGAATCTTCGTTTTAATGAGGCAATCAAAGAGTTTGATTTCATTAGAAATGAAGAAGAACCTTGTGTTTACAAGAAAACTAGTGGGAGTGCAGTTGCTTTTCTAGCATTGTATGTAGATGACATACTGCTCATTGGAAATGATATTCCTCTACTTCAGTCTGTTAAGACATGGCTAAGTAGTTGTTTCTCAATGAAAGACATGGGAGAAGCTGCCTATATTTTTGGAATAAGAATCTATAGAGACAGATTAAACAAATTGATTAGACTAAGTCAAGATACTTATATAGATAAGGTCTTGCATAGGTTCAATATGCATGATTCTAAGAAAGGTTTTCTTCCAATGTCTCATGGCATAACTCTCAGCAAGACTCAGTGTCCTTCGACACATGATGAGCGAGAGCGCATGAGTAAGATTCCATATGCATCTGATATTTTATCTATCATGTATGCTATGCTCTGCACTCGTCTAGATGTTGCATGTGCTTTGAGCATGACGAGCAGATACCAGTCTGATCCAGGTGAAAGTCACTGGATAGCAGTCAAAAATATCCTTAAGTACTTGAGAAAAACTAAGGATAAGTTTTTGATCTATGGAGGAAGTAAGGAACTTGTTGTGAGTGGTTAATGCAATGTCTAATGCATGATCTTATTTCTGAAATTAAAACAAGATTTAATTGTCAGATCTAAGTGATTAGTTGATTAACATGACGAGAGTTGGTTAATCATACATATGTCTATTCTAGTTCCATGCGGATTCCCAGAAACAGATGAAGATAAATCGCTTGGAAGCTAATTGGAAATGCCACCATACATCGATTAGAGTAAACTGGAGAAGTCTAAATCGCCACCTATGAGTTTAAGAGTCTTTAGTTTGAGTCGATATGCTTGAGATATTCTTTTAACAATTCATCCTGCATTGCATTTTATTTCTTGTAATATAAGATTAGGTTTAGTTTAGGATTCTTAACCAAAAACCCCAAAACTTTTATTGGTTTATGACTTTGCTTACTTCCCAGTTTGTTGTTTCTTGCAGATTAGACATCTTCCCTGTGGTTTGACACCCTAAGTTCTACAATGTACATCTGTGCACTTTCAGATTTAGGGTTTTATAAATTTAAAACTTTCTTTATGGACCAATGGGCTTGTATGAAAAACAACCCTAGGCCCATAGCCCATCACGGATTAAAGCAGACTTCTAAAGAAGTCTTCCTACAGTTGCCTGTTGTATTTGGAGAATGGGTTATGGGTACTCAGTCGTGACATTTTATGGTAAATAATCGCAAATGAAGGAGGATGTTCTTCTTGAATGATGGTTGTACACATGAAGAACTCATGGCTATGGCTCTAGATGATTACATGCTGGAGAAGAAAACTGACTTGGTGTCGATCACTTATGCATTGCCAGATTCAATGTTGTAAGTGGCTCCAGATACCCCTCCTACGCATATCACAAATGATATACAAGTACAAAGCTTGATTGAGTTGAGTAGGACGCATGTTATACGTATTTGTGTACCGACTCGTAATGATCATGTGGATGGACGTGATGGGGGTCCTGAAGCTGCTGATGGGGTTCTGATGACGATGGAAATGAAACTGCAGAGGAACATGAGGATGAAAATGTTGATGAGTGTGCTGGTGAGATCAACGACGACATCAAAGAAGAATTAGTAAAAGAGGAAGACGATACATTGTCTGAGGATGAGGACTACAACCAATATGGGAAAGTGAAGGATAAGGATTCAAATTCTGACTCAGAGGGTGAGTGGATTGAAGATGAGGTAAGAAGCTGGATTGACAAAATCACAGTCAACAGAAATTTTGCTACCAAGGATGAGCTGGTATCAGAGATAAGGTTGACGACTGTTATGTTGAAGTTCGCATTCAGAGCTGATAAGTCATTGAAACGTCTGTTTGTTGCTAAATGTGCTGTGAAAGGATGCCAATGGAGAATTAGAGCAGCTATAAAGCAAAGACGTTTTGGGTGAAAAAAGTATGTGAAAACTAATACATGTTCTGTTTCAGACCGGCTGGCTCACCGAAAGCATACTACTCCAAGATACAAAGGGAAGTTATTATATGGCGTGTAGGAATAATTGATGGGATTACTGCGCAACACATTCAAGATTCAATGAAGGTGATGTTTGGTATGAAACTAGATTACACAACTTCATATAGAGCATTGATGTATGCACAAGAACGTGTTAGGGGAACCCCATAAGATGGATATAGCCGATTGCCTTCTTATTTACATCAGATCACAGAAGCCATTCCGGGTACTATAACTGCCCTTGAACGTGACAGCCAGAATAGATTTAAATACATATTCCTAGTTTTCAGAGCCTCGATAGCTGGTTTTCAATATCTTTGACGGGTTATTGTGGTTGATGGGTGTTATCTAGCTGGAAAATATGAAGGGACTCTGCTAGTGGCGACAGCACAAGGTGGTAATATCTAGATATTTCCACTAGCTTTTGGAATAGTAGAGTCTGGGAATAATTGTGCATAGGAATGGTTTTTTACAAAATTGTGTGTGTGTTTTTACAGACGAATTTCCTTTGGTGATAGTTTCAGACAGGCACCATTCCATTAAGAAGGCATGTGAGACTGTTTTACCGTGGGTAACACGCGAGATATGTTACTATCATCTGAAACACAACATAGTCACCAAGTTTAAGGGAAAACATCTTATATACTTGGTCAAACGTGTTGCCTATGCATATATGGTTTATGACTTTAACTAATACATGGACGAGATACGACATATAAAACCTGAGCTTGCAACGTACTTGGAGGAGACAGACATTAAAATGTGGTCATGAGTTCACTTTCCCGGTGATAGATACAATATAAAGACGAGCAAAATTGCAAAGTCTATCAACTCCGCTCTTAAACGAGCACGGGGATTTTCCATAATATTCATATTGGACTACATACGAAGAAGCTAGCATAGTGGTTTTGTAAAAGGCGAGAATATGCTTTGAGTCTTCAAACCATCCATATTTCGGGAGTTGAATATTTTTTGGCAATTTGTTCACATTACGCTGATAACTTGATGGTAGAAGGCATAGATGGTTGGCGATTCAATGTGAAAGGAGGATCACTTAATTATGTTGTTGATTTGGAACATCGAAAATGTGCGTGTGGAATGTATGATATTGAGAAAGTACCTTGTTTTCATGTTATAGCCGTTTCAGATGCAGTGCATATGCGTCTAGCTACTCTTGTATGCCTGGCATACTCCAAAGATTACTTGTATGCAGCATAAGAATATATATCCTGCAAGCATTGCTATCAAAACCGAGGAAGCAGTGCAATATCTACCTCTAGAAGTCCAACGTAAAAAAGGCAGGCAAAAAACGTCAAGGTGGCAAACTTGGCTGGAGACTTCAAGGCATAAAAGAAACCGCAAAAGATCCACAAGCAATACAGTTGTTCAAAATGTCACCAACCAAGACATACTACACCGGAGTGTGTTAGTGTAATGTTAGAAGTTATTGTGTGTTATTTGAGTTATATTACTTGGTTAGAAGTTAAGTTTCTATGTTTGTTTTATAGGCATGGAAGATTGGATAACAGAGAAATATCTGATACAGAAGTCTACCTCAGAAGTCTGCTATGTAAGTCTACTCTACAGAAGTCTACTCTAGAAGTCTGCAAATGCATATTGAATACGATCGTGTAAGGTGTTGGTGGTGTACTTCGCACCCCCGGTTTAGTCCGGTATGAACCGAGATCGGCCCAATTAATTTCGATTTACGATGGTTCATATCCAAAGGATATTCGGCCCATTAATAGCTTATGGTCTTCTAAAGCCCGATTTACAATATCGGCATTAACATCTAAACTTTACGGAATATTTCCTTAATCTTATCCAAGAAAAGAAAATATTCCCGAATCCAAATCCAAATAGAAATAGGAAATCGTCCAGAGAGACCGATTTCAAAACCCTATAAATAGAAGAGACTCCTCTTTTTTCAAAGATCATTCACAACTTTAATAACAGAACTACGAATGGCTTGATCCTTTCTCAAGGGTATGTAGGCAGCTCATATTGAGTTCAGCTATAACATCAATAAAAAACTCTTTGTGTTATACTCGGTATCAACAATTGGCACGCCAGGAAAGGGGGCGAGTGAGATTCTTAAAAAAAACCCTAAATCGGATGATGGTATCTCCGATCTATTCTCTCGTTGCCTCTACCGATTAAGATCACTAACATGGATCTTTGACGATATCACCTACAACGTCTTCTTCAAATACAAAGTAGCGGATCTCCAGATCTCACCATTATTCGTCATCCGTCATCAATCAAAGATAAGTGTTATTAATTATACTTATTGCCTCATACTTTTCACGTTTATTGAATACATGGACTCAGAATCATTAATTAAAAATTGATAAGTGAATCTTTTACCAGTTCGGTTCATCCTAGTTTGTTTAGTCAAAAATTACGGCTGCAGAGTATTCGAAACAACTATAATTAATATCTCTAACTTCTGTTTGAGCCCTTTGCAAAGAAAGACATCGTGAATTATACATCGTCACATATTTTCATTAATTTGTTTAATTTGATGTCGTTGGTTGAATCAATGCATTAATCATCTTGGTTTAAGATTACATCATTATCTCTCATGCTTCTTGATCGGGAACTTACTGACTTATGATCTGACTTTTTCTTTGTTTCTGACTCGAGTCGATGATGTCTGCATCTCTCCTATCGCTAATTTGCTTTTCATTCAAAGACAAAGCTCCTTTGTTTAAATAAAAAAAAAATAAGAGAGGAGTAGGGGCTATGGGACAAGACTCACCGAGCTCAGATTCGATCATCGCCGTACAACAACAATCCGTCATGACTCGAAGCTTTCCGGAGCTCCGCCCTCACCTCCATCACCGCATGTCAACACCGCCAAATCGAACGCCTTTTCTCCGGCAAACAAAGCTGTCGTTGGAAGGAAATCAGATTTTCTTTTTCTGTTGGGCTTGAACAGGTTTTGGCCCCATCTGATATTATGAAATACCAGGCCCAACAGCTGGCCCAGAATGATGTGAAGACTAAAAGCCCAATCTCCTGCAACAACAACAACCTTTCCCGATGACTCAGATGAATCTCCGGTCACGTCAAATCCGATGACCCTGACCAGACCTGCAAACTGCCGGCAAACTGCAGATTTCCGACCTGAACCGTCTCAATCGCTAGCTCCATCAAAGTACCTCAGAGACCTTTCCCTCTTCCTTGCTTCAAACAACCATGGCAAGAAAAACACATGTTGCTTCCACTTCTGGATTTCAAAAATTAATTCCTGAAATTATCCATCGCCGACCTCAAGAGCTTTCATGTTCATTCTGGACTCGGAAAACTTCAGAGATTCGCAACAATTCCCAAGCTTCAATACCCGATGACATCCTAGAAATACTTCACTGAGTTTAAGAAGATTTATTCTAGCTGATACCATCACCATCTCAGCTCGCCGCACGGCTTCACCAGCTCTTTACCGGAATCTAAAAACCAGTTCGGAATCACCTCGTCAATCCGCTTCTCATCCAGTTCACAAAGAGATGGATAGAGTAAATCGAGAGAGAACACAATATTTCAGATCTTCACTTTACAAGGGTTGAATATCAAAGAGCCGAGCTCAGCAATCCCGCACCAGCAACAAAAGCTAAGTGTCATCTTCTTTACCAAATACTATGATCTAAAATCTCAAAGAAAATAGATCTCTTCACAAGCTTTCATCGAAATGTTGCAGGACTTACAAAAATCATAGCTCCGGCTAAAAGACGCTTCAGAAATATAAAGTAGCGACAACAATTAAGAGCTTCAGCTCGTCAATCCATCCCGCATAAGCACAAGTTCAAAATTTTCTCAGTTCTCTCACCGACCTAAGCCAAAGTTTCAAAGCAACAGTGCAACATGAATATTCTAAGCTCACCGATCTAGAAGCTATTCTTAGCTCGTTACCCGAACTCCTTGATACCCAGGTATTATCTATCAAAATTATAATATTATTCAAAGAATATTCACCATTGTCACAGGGTCTGTCCCTCCTCCAAGCCGAACTAAGGTTCGCATTTAAAAAAAAAAAAAAAAAGGAAAAAGAGATCCTTAGACGAGCTCGGAGCTCCCACTTAAGCTCACACTTCAGCACCTTTCCCAACTCAACTATTATTGACATGCTCGTCAGTTTGAGTTTGTCAGTCTCAGTTCAGACAGCTTTAGTTCCTTATTTTCGGCTCGTCAGCAGCTTTTGTTCGTCATTTTCAAATATCAGCTTGGTTCAAAATTTCATCTCGACCCAGATTTCAGTTCGGTTTAGATTCAGTTCATTAGTTTTGAGTTCGGAATTTCAGTTCAATACCTTGAGTTCGTCGATTTCGGATTTCAGTTCGACTCAGCTTCAGTTCGTCAACTTGAGTTCGTCAAATTCATAATTTTAGAATTTCAGTTTTCATTCAGAGTTTTAGTTCAGCCCAGAATTTCAGTTTTCATTCAGAGTTTTAGTTCGGCTCAGAATTTTAGCATGTCATATTCAGTTCATTTCAGATCAGATCAGTTTTTGTTCAGAATTTCGAGTTTCAGTTCGGTACAACAACTCAATTGGTTAGACAAGTTCAGTTCATCGACTTGAGTCCGTCATCTCAGAATACACTCTTCTGCCGAGCTACACTGCGCTCAAACCTCTTCTAGCTCATCAACCGAGCTCCTCAGAAATTCAAAGTCTGTCCCTCCAAGCCGAACTAACATGTTCGCAGTTCCGACCGAACTCATCGGTATTACATCGACTTCCTGGCCAGTTGTTCGATAGCATTTCTCAACAATGCAAACTCAAAAAGCCGAGATCCGTCTCGCTAACACCCACATGGTGCCGTGGTAAACTCCACATCATAAAGCCGGGGCCAGTCCCGCAATAAAATTCGAGCCCATCTCGCACAATTAGGTTCGACTTAGGAGACCTTGAGTTTGTATCATGCGTTTACAAGGGTTCGATTAATCACCCTTCCAGTATGATAAAACTCACTTGGGTCCCCCAGGCCGAGTTTATTTAACTCGCACAAATTAAGCCGAACAGCTCAGATTCGCACCGTAAGCCGAGTTCTCAATACTCACAAATGTAAGCCGAGTTATCGCAATTCGCAATAAGATTGAGTTGAAACTCATATAAGCCAAGCTAACAGCCTCGCAAGTCTCCAATCTCAATTCACACCGGACTAAAAATACTCATGAAATCCGCCGAACTCTTACACATACTCTTTCGTTGGACTGAGGGGGGGGGAAGGGGGCTTACTGTTGGTGGTGTACTCCGCACCCCCGGTTTAGTCCGGTATGAACCGAGATCGGCCCAATTAATCCCGATTTACGATGGTTCATACCCAAAGGATATTCGGCCCATTAATAGCTTATAGTCTTCTAAAGCCCGATTTACAATATCGGCATTAACATCTAAAATTTACGGAATATTTCCTTAATCTTATCCAAGAAAAGGAAATATTCCTGAATCCAAATCCAAATAGAAAAAGGAAATCGTCCAGAGAGACCGATTTCAAAACCCTATAAATAGAAGAGACTCCTCTTTTTTCAAAGATCATTCACAACTTTAATAACAGAACTACGAATGGCTTGATCCCTTCTCAAGGGTACGTAGGCAGCTCATATTGAGTTCAGCTATAACATCAATAAAAACTCTTTGTGTGATGCTCGGTATCAACATAAGGTACTTCTAAATTTGTGTTCTAAGCTAAGCGAGTTCTATGAAACTGGTTAGGGAAGTGTAATCTAACACAAAAGCCATAGCATAATGTTATAATGGATAGGTTAACAAAAGCTAACAATCACACCACCGTTTACAATATTACAAACAAACCTAAACCATAGTAATATACAACTAAACAAAAAACAATAGTGATAGGTTAACCAAAAACTTACAACCATACCACAGCCAACCAGAGTCCTTTAATCTTACAATATAGAATATAAATAGTTGGACATATCACTTACCTTTGTATACATCCAACCATGAATACTCATACCTCTCTGTGCCGGTGACGTTAGTCTTGTCGAATATTTCCGCTGCCATCTTGTCTCGGATTTTTTTGATATTTGCATCACACAAGGTTTTAGGAAATGGCATCCCTAGGGCATATCATTCGAGGTACTTCAGGCAATAAACGCCACAGTCACCGCTTTGCTTGTTTTGTGGGATCAAATGGCCTTTGATCCGCTCATAAGTGAATGCATCGTAAGATAGCTTGATCCGGTCTTGAGCTGGAGCATATTCATGCATGATGTAAAGAACCAAGACTGCTATAGGAGTCCCAGCTGCTTTAAAAGCTATGTCTGATGCATGCATATCTGCGTGACTATCCAAGATGACAATGTGCCTCATTGGAAGAGAAATCCACATTGCCGCCCAGTGATCTCCAGTTATGTGAAACATCGTGTACAGGTCATCCACCTCGTACCTCCAGGTCTTATTACTAACGCAATAAGTTGGTGTTTGGCCTGTGTAGTACTCGAACGAACCAGAAGGTAGGAGCTTGCCTGAACCATCAGGGTTTACATGAGAGTCCAGAAAGTCCTTGTAATTTGATCTCCACATCGTTGCAAACAGTAAATCAAGGAAACAGATCATGTCCGACCTAATTAAAACACTCACGATGCTTTGCAAATCGCAGCCTGAGTAGGTTAATCCCAGCTTCCATGTGCTGCGTTTTCAAGAAAAACAATTATTATTATGAACTCGTCCACAGTTCATCTAAATTTTGTCGAATCAAGCAAATTTTAATTGGGCTAAACCCTAACTTACAGTGTCTAATAGTCATTGTTTCGGGACTCTTATAATGTAGTACCAGTCAAGTGGAAACCATTTAATTCGTTTAGGATAGTTTCTGAAAAAAAAACAAAGTTTAATACTTTAATGTGTTAAAGTATGAAAATTGGGGTTTAGTTCAGGGGTAAAACACATTTCGAAACCAAGTCTACTTATTTCGGGGTTTCCTTCCTCTTTTATTTGTAGGGGTTTTTTTACTAACCCCAAAATTAGGATTGACGTATGTCGGCTTATCGTCACAGGGTTTGGGATCCACTAGATTTGGTGCCGACTTGACCTCCTCTCCATCAGCCGCATCCTCCTTTAGGCCACCGGTTACTGCCTCTAACTTTTGCTCCACGTCAACAAGCTTTGTGTTGACTAGCTTGATCTGAGATTCACAACTACTCAACCCAGTCATCATCTTGTGGAAACAATCGTCCATGTGATCCTTCAAAATGGTAACCATGGACTCCTCTTCATCACCTCTAATTGGGCAGGACCGCTTCCGAGTTTCTTCATCACCAACTGATTCCGATATCCTCTTCAGATCAAGAGAAACTTCGGACTTCACATACTTGGTCACACTTATTGGAGGCTAATGACTTCTCTCCCATTTCCATGGTACATTGCCAAAGTGTCCAAACATTGCTCGCACAATGTTGTCAGTCTTCACATCTTTTTCATCATGATCATCAAATTCCCAGACCGGAAACATCTGTTTGAAGTCCTTAACAGCGTGGTTGTTTATACGTGTCTACATAAAATAAAACGATATATGTTATTATACCGTAAAACTGAAAACATTAAACAAGTCTGAAAATTTACCTGTCGGAGCATATTCTCTTTCATAAACTTTCTCCCTCTGGATCCTTTATAAGAGAGCAACGATGGTTCGGGGTCGTTTGGAAAAGGTTCACCAAATCTAGCAGCGAATTCTAGAAGAGCAAAGTAAATCTATACTTGGAGAACTTTTACAAAACCTTAGATCGTGTACGACGACTTCGTAATGTCTTTCTCCTTTACAGACCGAATCAGGTTTTTAAAAGCCACTTTTCCCCAAGGGTAATTCTCAAACACATCTAAATCCATCACTAGCCTAGCCAAACTGACCCGAGTAGCTGAAGATGGTTATCGTGTTTCAATGAAAAAAGTATAAATGCTTAGGTATCCCAGCCTCAACCGATCTTCGGGAGACCATGATCTACAATCAAGATCTACAATCATTATAAGCTTCTATCAAATCTTCAGTACTCTGCCCCAATTCCTGATTCACTCCCATTCGATCCCAGAATTCTTGCATCTCCTCAGTAACCTCAACCTTTGGATCTTCGAGCTTTTCCACGTAGTCGCAATTTAGCCCAGAAATATGTTCGAACTCATTCAATGAAAAGCGTATCGGGATAGAACCTATGAGGCTCCAAATCTCAAATTTTTTGTTGCAAATTAGCTGCAAACCGAGAATGTAATGCACCAGTCTAGATGTCCAGCCTAAATCCAGTTGACTGAACTTCAAGAACACTCCCAGTCTTGAATTCCAAATCTCTTCCCATTCATCTTTTTTAGTGCTTCCGCTAGTGTAGTGATCAGGTTCGACTCACCACTATAGTAGCCTATGCTTTTAAGAGGATATGGCTCATCGCCTTTTGAGAAGAGATGTAGCGGGAATTCTGGCTTAGCCATTGGATTGGCTGATTTCTGCGAAATGGAATGAGAGAAGTATGCGTAAAGAGCTGACTGAAATAGAAGTCTGATAACAAAGTCTGAGAGAGAAGTCTAGCAATGAAATCTGTCCAATAAGTTTAAAAACGAAGTCTGAAACCCAAAATATATCGACTATAATTCTTCCCAAAAAAATAACCGCCATTTACCAAAAAAAAAAGAAGTGACAGAGTTAAATAAGTTACCGCCAGTTACCAAACAAATTTTGACAGAGTTAAAAAACTTGAAATATAAAAGCATTGTGAAATAGAAGTCTGCTAACGAAGTCTACAAGAGTAGTCTGAAACTCTAACATATCGACTCCGACACTTACCAAAAAAATAGCCACCGACAGAGTTATCCAACACTAAGCATATTGATTTTACTCGATTTGACCATAAAAATAGACTTCTGAGATAGTTCTCTAACACAAATCAAATCGCTATTGACAAAAAAAACAGAGATCTCAAACACTAGGGATTCCGGGATTCAAACAATAACGTATACGATTTTAGCAAAAATGGTTGTAGACTTCAAACCCTAAACAAATTTACCAAAAAACGATTGTGGGATTCAAACTCTAAACAATTTTATCAAAAAATGATTGTGTGTAAACAATTTAAGCAAAAACAGTTGTGAGATTCAAACCCTAAACGATTTTAGCAAATACGGTTGTGGGATTCAAACCCTATACGATTGTAGCAAATGGATTCAAAAAGACTATCACATATAGTACAGTAAAATACCTTTTCGCAACAGCAGCTGAAACGAACAACGGCGGAACAAATACGGCAGAAAAGAACAGCGGCAACACCAGATCTGGAATTGAAAACAAAGCGGATTAGGGTCTTCGATCCAAAAGAGAAGTCTGTGTTGATTACGACTTACCGTATACCGTATAGCGGAGTATACAGAAAAACTGGCAAATCTGCAGAGATAATTTTTTGCGGTTGGTATGTTTTTTTGTTTTACCGATATTGTGTTAAGACTGTGTAAAAAAACACTTATATATGTCTGTAAATTTCTTATTAACCGTTGTACCAATTCAATTTATGTATATACCGATCCAGTAGCACCAATTCAAATTGGTTAGTGTTCAATTTAAAAAAAAAACAATTGGTTTATTTTGCACCTTGGTTAATTTTGTACCTTGATTCAAATTTGTTAGAGTTTAACTGGTTTAGCGCACAATTCAATTTGGTCTCAGTCTGCGAATTCAGTCAGCATATTTTTTCTGCGTATTCAGTCTGTGTCTTCAGTCTGCTAATACAAAAATATGTCACAAACATAATTTAAACATACAATATCAGGATTGCATATACATATTCTCTTTCGAGAAGAACTAGGACCTACTCAAACAAACACTAAGAAATTTTATAACACCTGTCAGGATTGCACCAGCCACCATCACATAATTTAACTTCCAGCCTCCCAAACGCTTCTCCAAAAGTTGGTCCCTTAAATGTGCTATATCTGCATCCAAGCTCATAATCATACGCCGCATTATCTCCATTTGTGGCTTATCATTTCAATTCTGTACAGCTTGGCAATAACCAATTTTGAAGTAACGAATGGAATCTGCCTGTTGCTCCACAACCAACCTAAGCTTTTGAAACTCCTCGGTCATAGCTTCATCCCACCACTTGAATATATGGTAGCCACCATCCTAGACAAACACTCACAAACCATCACAAACCATCAAAAACCATATTCAATAAACTCTCACAAGCCAATCGAAAAACAATACAACAAACCACTTATTACCTCCTTATTACGGCATCCATAGAAACTTCTACCTGGATTCAGGTCTGTGGAGGATGTCTGGAGCACTGGCACTAAACCGCAGTAACAACGGATAGGAAATCCAAAACTTTCACCCGATCAACGTCGGGCAGTTGAACTCATACATTCTCTTGAACTTCTTGATTACTGTATGCATTCCAAACAATATTTAATGTAAGAAACGCATACTTTGTGAAAAATTAAATGATTTTAAGCTAAAAGACAAATGTCATAAAATGCTAAAAAAAATCATAGCATCAATTTATTTGTAGCTAAAAAACAAAATAACGAAAATAAACTTTACCAAAAAAATACATTTTTAATAATGCCAAAATACCAAATCTGATAAGAAACTTATATATTTCAATACTTGCTCTCGAGTTGGGGCTTAGATCTGCTACAAAAATAGTAAAGCAAAAAGACAAATTTGTAAGAACAATGGAACAAACATATAAACAATAAAATACAGACTAAACAGAGGGAGATTTGGTGAAGAACTTACAGATCAGGAGAGAAAATATGAAGGATGCAGACGCCACATGAGATCTGCAGCAACAAATAACAAGTGAGATAGATGAAACAAGATATGCATCAGAAACAAGATAGAAGAGATGTAGTCACAGGGTGAGTACTAAAGCTTACCAGCTGAAAAATGCAGAGATGAGGATGAAGACGCCGCTGGATATCTGCAGCAGAAACCAAATATGAGGTGAATAGATGAAAAGGGACAGAAGAAATGCAAGAACTCAAAGAGAGCTAGGGCTTACCGGCCAAAATGGAGAGCTGATGTGTGCGGGCCTAGGGTTGGATTTTTTTACAAGCCCATTGTTCCTAAAAAGTTATAAATTTATAAAACCCTAGTGTCCGCAAGTGCACAGATGTATATTGTATGACTTAGGGTGTCGATCCACAGGGAAGATGTCTAATATGCAAACAACACCAAACTGGAAGAGTAAGTAAAGTCATAAACTTATGGGGATTTTGTTTTTTGGTTAAGAATCCTAAGCTAGACATAATCTAATATTTACGGAAAATAAAATGCAATTCAAATGAATTGTTAAAAGATTATCTCAAGGATGTCGACTCAAACTATAGACTCTAAACTCATAGGTGGCGATTTAGACTTCTCCGGTTTACTCTAATCGATGTCAAAGCATTTCCAATTAGCCTCCATGCGATTTATCTTCATCTTTTTCTGGGATCTGCATGGAACTAGAATAGACATGTGTATGATTAACCAACTCTCGCCATCTTAATCAACTTATCACTTAAATCTGACAATTAACTCTCGCTCTCATGCCATAAATAAGATCATGCATTAAATATTGAATTCGTATGCTCACATCTTCTTTACAGGTAGCTCTCGACTCCCGACTATGTTCTTCTGAAGCTAGGTATGGATGATCTGATACAGCACTCTCGTGGCTCTGATCGATCATAGGCTCAGAGAATAGGTCATGAATATACTCTCATGCAATATGAACAACTTAGAAGAGATGAGATCCCCAGAATATGGTTTAGAATCATACATGTATGCCTATCGAAAACTCTTCAAAAACTTGACTCTCTGGGACAGATCTACATGATGCAATGGATGATAAAAGACACGAAAGAATGCAAAATATGAAACAGAAAAGTTAATTAGATAAAAAAGATGAAAACAATGGATCCAGGGAAGAATCCCCTTCTTCATCGCCTAACTCTAGAAAAACAAAGTTAGGTGGCTCAAAATCTCATTACAGGAGCACACACTCGTTTAGGACTGCTAAGAAATGTATTTATAGGTCCTAAGGTCTTCAAGGTCTCATTTAGGGCTTCTCTGAAGAGGAATAGCGAAATGGGCTTTGATGTTGGGCCTTGTGGCTTGGATTTGGTCCACCGAGGGTGGAAGTCTTCCAGGGCAGGTGAAATGCATGTTTGCCATGGGTGAGAGTCTTCCGGAGCTGGTGAATTTGGCCAACTTGTTCTCCATGTATCTTTTGATTGCACTGTTGGATCTTCGTGATGTAAAGTGCTATGGAAAGCAGGTTGTCTCCTCTTGAATGTCTCCGAATTTGAGTTGGATTAGACGGTAAGAAAGTCATCATTTGATGCTGAAATTCTGACGGTCTGACTCTGAGCTAAAAATGTGGATTTCTTTCTATTTTGCCATCCATTTCCCTAAATTTCCTGAAAAGAGCCTTGAAACTACAAATATAGAGAAAACATAATAAAAATTCCTAAAACTGACTAAAACCTTTGAAAAAGCATTTGAAATCAATGGTGAAAATGGGTACAATACAGTGTTATCAAGGGCTCGCCAGAAATAGCTTCAGGCGAGAGAGAGCAGTCTACAATGCCATTTTACAGAGTCGAGGGTTTTTAATTTATGGAAACATCTGGTTAAATTTCTTTATATACTATGTTAAAAATATCCAGTTAGGTTAATTACTTCTGGTTTATGTAAACGTTTTATTTCAATTTCGGTTACGGTTTGAATAGACTTCTAAAGTAGTTTGTAACCCTAAATTAAAACATATGGTAAATATATTTACCTTTGTTGGTCTAATTTGATTCAGTTATATTAAATTTTAATTTATATACATCATAATTGTTTATATTTTATTTATCAAAATAAATTTCAGTTCAAATTATTTTTACATAATTTTTAAATTAAAATATAAATTTTATAAATATAGAAGACTTTTTTATAAGTCTGTGTATAAATTAAAAGTCTGTGTAAGTTTGTGTAGCATACTTCTAAAGTAGTCTACAACCCTATATTATAATTATTCACTTTTGATATTTATCTTAGATGCTTTAAATTGATTCTGTTATATTAAATTTTGATTTATATACATCATACTTATTTATATTTGTTTTATAGAAACAAATTTTAATTTAAATTTGTTTTAAATTAAAATATAAGATTCAATAATAGAGTAGAAGTCTGCTATTACACTCAGATTTTACAAGGTTAAAATCGTAACTGAGCCATCCATTTTTTTATTAATGTAGGATATAATAGTAATTTTTCTACCATATTTGCCATAGTTTTGCATTTAGACTCAAATTGTGGCATATTTTTAACAATTCCTCCATATTCTTAAGACAACAGTCGATAGCAAATCAAGCCAACAAACTAAGAACATGAAGACAAAGGAAAACTAGGTAGGATTCATTTTTGTTTCTTTTCATTTCTTTATTGGGTTGGTATAAAAGCACTTTAAAAAACAATTCAACAAAGATAAAATATTTTGTAAGATACATTGTTAAAAACAATATAAAATTTTAATTTATCTGAAATTTATTTTGAAACAGAAATATATACTAGTTATTATTTTATGATATTAATGGAACCATATAAGTTGTATATGATTTTTAAAAAATATATATCATAGTATTATCTGTTCTATTAAAACAGAAACATGTCTGGTATACAAAATTTCAAATAGGTTTAAATTAGTTTCTACTATTTTGTTTTTGGATAATTCCTATTTATATTACCAAACAAGTCAATTTAATGTAATATCAAATAATATAATATATTTTTAATTTATCTTTCAAAGTTATTCGAAAATTTAAATTTGAATTAAGATTTGTTATAGATTTTCTTATATATATGTTATATTATTTATCAAAAATTATAAAATAAGTTATTATTATATTTTACAAAAAATAGTAAATCAGATATTAATTTAGATATAATCTAAATATTCAAATTTGATCATTTTCAATAAAAAGATAAAAAATGATATAGTAATATATATTTTATTAAAATTCTAAATTTTTTACTGATCAAACTTAAAAATATATAAAATATAAAAATAATATGAATGGATGTATTATAATTATATTTTAATAATCAGATCCTTTTCGGATTAATATAAATGTAAATGATAACGTTTTTATAATCATTGTACTTTCAGGATTAATATGAACGGACATGTTAGAATAATGTTTTTCTAATCACGGTCATATATATACTAGAAAAACTAAATCAATAAAACCAAATTATATATATAAAATATATATATATATATCACTTATTAAAAAATTATATCTAAAAAAATTAAACAACAAATTATATTATAAAATTTGATAATTTATAAATATTTCTCGTGCAGATGCATCCTTTATTAAATTGTGTTATATTTTGAATTTTCTTTCTCGAAACAATATAAAATTTTTAGTTTATCGTATTTATTAATTTATCTAATATTAGTTTATAAACTTTCTATTTTATATCATATGGATTTGGTGTTGAGACTCGAAATCTATGCAGACTAAATTTCAAAACTTTATGCAAGTCTGCTGAGTTTCTACGGACTAATTTTAAGTCTATTGAATTTCTATAGATTCTTGAAAACTTTATGCAAGTTCTGTCGAGTCTCTGCATATTAAATTTAAGTCAGCCAAGTCTCTGCAAACTATGTTTAAATCTGTCGAGTCTCTGCACACTAGGAAAGTGTTATACCATGAGATCCAAAGTGGTACACTTGAAGGATATAATTCTTCTTCTGAGAACTCATCTGAAGCAATATTCTCGACCTCCCTCATCTGAAAGCCGTCGATTGCTTTCAGACTCCGACCGATCACAATCCCGGTAAAGCAACGCCTTGAGTACCCAAAGAAGACCACCCCCAAGCGGAGACAAACCCAAGCTTCCTCCAGGGCTACCTCAAGAACCATTTCTTGTTCGGTCTCTAAGAAGCTAGCACCAGGCAGCTCAAGCCAAAGTGGCAAAATAAAACGTAAAGTGGTTTCAAAGAAAATCTCACCAAGGAAGAGACTCTGCGTGGATCCCAACAAGCACTCAACGTCGAGGTCATCCAAATTAGCATTGGCTTCTGCTGCTCGTAGTGATCTTGTATCATTGATTTCTTAGGTCTTTGTGCCTTCCTCTTGTAAGGGCTTGATGGTTGCCCAAAAACCATCAGCTTCTCAATGATTACAACATGTTGGAACTGTCAGGGGATTGAAAACTACTTAACAGTTTGACGTCTAAAGGAATTAAGACTTTGTCTTTTCCCGGATATTATGTTTATCACTGAGACAAAGAACCAAGATGATGTTATCTTCAGTGTTTTTTAGTGGATGGGGTATGATAACAGATTTACGGTTCCACTAATTGGACTTAGTGGAGGGCTAGCACTCTTTTGGATGAAAGTTACACATCTGGAGATTCTATCTTCTTCCCCAGACTTCATTGATACCAAGACTAAGTACAAGACGACTTCTTTCTATTTTACCTTCGTGTATGGCCATCCGGTAAGCCATCGAAGACTAGAGGTGTGGAACCAAATATCGGCATCGGGCGCTAATAGAGATTCAGCCTGGCTTCTGTCGGGAGATTTTAACGAAATCCTCTACAACTCGGAGAAGCGCGGAGGCCCTAGACGACATGAAGCTTCCTTTATTAACTTTCGGAGCTTCATTTCGCAAAAATGGATTATGGGGTGTTAACCATTCCGAGAATCCACTGTCTTGGAGGGGAATGCATTATAACCACTTCGTCCGAGCTCGACTAGACCGATCGGTCTGTAACGATGCATGGTTAGAAACATTTCCCTCTGGACGATCGGAATACCTTCGCTATGAAGGATCAGACCATCGTCCCCTTGTCACCTTTCTTCGACGACTCTAGAGTGAAACGCCGAGGGATTTTCCGTTTCGACAACAGACTCCAGGAAAAAAGAAGAAGTCATGGAGCTGATTGGCCGTGTCTGGAATGGATCTGACCATGACACAGTTCTTGCAAAGATCTCTGACTGTCGGCAGGAGATCATCAGATGGGCAAATGATCAGAATATGAATACTGCAAAGCTTATCGCTGATACGCAATCAGAACTAGAATGGGCTCTCTTGGCGGATACTCCTGACCCCGTTACAATAGGAAGATGTACAGCGACTCTCGAACAAGCCTACAAAGCAGAGAAACAATTTTGGAAGCAGCGGAGCCGCATCCTCTAACTTCAGAGCGGAGATCACAATACAGAATACTTTCATGCTGTTACTCGAAATCGTCGTACCTGCAACAGATTCACGGTCCTGGAAGAGGATGCAGGATCAGTTTTCCATGAGGAACATGATTTTGCTCGTATCATTTCGGAATATTTCCAAGATATTTTTTCATCTCAGGATAGCTCGGACTTCTTCTTGGTCAATGATGTCTTGACCCCCCATATCGATGAAGCTATGAATGCTCGTCTAACCCGGATTCCCGACCCTACAGAGATTCATGTTGCGGTCAAATCCATTCACCCGAGCAAGGCACCTAGACCAGATGGATTCTCCGCTGGTTTCTTTCACACTTACTGGCCTATTATTGGAGAGGACGTTGTAAAAGAAATCCAAGAATTCTTCCTCTATGGATCCTTCCCGACTCACAAAAACGAAACTCACATTCGCCTTATCCCTAAAATTTTGGGGCCAAGAAAATTTTTGGACACTGTAGTAGTTGTCGAAGCATGTTCTTCACTTCTTGATCTTTAGGCCCTGAGCTAAATTTTGTAGTTGCAGAGCGATAAAGCCTTGTTGTTGGACACATTGAGTGAAGTTCTTCTCGGTGTGATAGACTTGGTCTTGTGGGTTGGCTACATTTCCGCTTCTATAAAAAAATTGGGGTGATTCTTATAGTAGTTTTACTCTTTTTGGTAACCTGGTTGGCCATCTAGAAAGTTCACTTCTGCTGTTATGTCTTCACCTTGAACATTTTCTTGGAATCCTTGGTGTAGATCTCAAACAAAATTGACAGACTTTTGAGAGGCTAGGAGAAGTTTTTCTGGCTTCTCATTTAGTGATTTGATGTCCTTCCTTTTTTTTTTTTTTTTTTTTTTTTGAAACTCACATCTCTCCTTGAAGCTCTGTTATACTCTTCACCATTGCTCTCATCGCTCTGAGCTAAGTTCTCAACTAATCCCATAATTTCATTCACCTCTCTAGCCAACAAATTTCAGTTGAAGCTGTTTCTAGGAGTAATATTATCGTGGGTAATGCTCCCTTATACAGAGTGTTAAGGAGTGAGGCATTATTGAAGTCATGATGAGGGCAATGAAGAGTAAAACTCTTGAACCTTTTCTATGCTTCACAAAAGCTATCATGGTTATTTTTTGTGAAGCTTGATATTTCATTCCTCAGTCTAGCAGTTCTAGAGCTGGAGAAGAACTTGGCTAATAAAGCTTTCTTGCATTGGTCCCATGTAATGATAGAGCCTTGAGGAAGGTTCTTCTCCCATAGATGTGCTTTGTTTCCAAGACGAAATTTGAAAAGCTTGAGCTTGAAGCTGTTTTCTGACAACCAATTCATCTTTGTCAGCCCACAGATTATATCAAAGTGATCCAGATGATCAAGAGGGTTTATTATAGCTAACCCATGAAATTTATTGCTCTGCAACATGTTTATAAACCCAGCCTTGATCTCAAAACTGTAGTTCTCCACAGCTGGTGCTTGTATTCCCTGGGCTATTTGCTTAAGCATTATCAGCATCACCAGCTCCAACCAAGTTTGCAGCTCTTGGTCCTTAGTTGTTTATCATTCTGAGCTCTGAAGTTCTTGTACCTGAAAGAAAAGAAGAGAAACCAAGTGAGATACAACAGGTAACAAAAGAAAATAAAGGCTTGATCTCAAGAAGATCTGAAATCCTAATGTTGAACTCTAATCCCAATTAATAAGTGGATAACCTAGAAAAATCCCTTAGGCATACTCATATCATTGTAATGCTTTAGGTTATCAATCCGAAAGGGATAAGTCTCAAGCACTAAGAATACATAGAACTACTTAATCCAAGAAAGCAAGTTGGTTTTTAATTTGCAAACAAAAAACCTAATGATTCAAAATAAAATTAAACAAGTAGATAAACTAGGCAAGATAAACAAGATAATTAAAGAAATCAAGCAATTTAAACAAGATTAACATTGATAAAGGCAAGCTCTTGGATGAAGTTATGGACACTGGGGATTTATATGATCAATCTATGATGTCAAAATACACAATCAATCAATTTTTTTTAGCCTATAACACTTAAACAAAACTAATCCACTCTCATGAAACTAATCATTTTGCTAATTACCCTTAATCAATATCAAATTCTCATTTGTGAAAAAGGTAATTACAAGAATTAAACATAAGTTCCACTCTCCATTATAATTCTTAAACATCTATTCTCATAGGTTAAGCAAGTAAAAACTGTTATATAGTTTTTTGGGAAATTTCATCAAACACCTTGTGGGTATGGAATTCCCTCTGCTCTACATAGCTTTCTCAACACTAATCTAGCATCAGTATTACTAGATAAGAAAGGAAAATAACTAATCTAGCCCTATATGTCATAGATCAATCAAAGAAACCCATAATCTATCTCACAAAATGAGCATAAAGACAAACTCACTAAAAAACCCATAAATCTCAAGAAAAAGTGGATGTTAATCATGATTATGGAATAGATAAACAAAAAAAAAAGATAGATTAAAGACAAAAAGATTCAAACTTGCATTAAAATTGTAAAAATATCTGTGAAAAAGCTTAGAAATTCAAAAAAGAGATGGTCCTCTAAAACCAGGTGTGTGGGATATTTATATGAGCGATCCACGTTTTAGAGTCTGGTGGCTGGTACCAGACTGTAGTAATCTAGTGTTGAGCACTTGATAGTAAGAAGTTTTCAATCCTTGATCAATTCCTCAACTACTCATGTCATTGTAGCACTTGAGGTATCAATCCAAATGGAGAGATTCTAGACACTAGAGCTATGAGGAGCTATCTTAATTCAAGTCTAATAAGCAGATGAGTTGGTAACAAGGTGATCTAAAAACATAAAGCAAACAAGAAAAAGCAGTAATTAAGAATTAAACAAGCAAGAGAAACTAAACAAACACTCAAATTCAAATAAAGAGAAAGCTAAACCTCTAGATGTGATCATTGATCAGGGTGCTTTAAATGTGAATTCATGATGCTAAGCAAACAATACAACACTTGCAATTCTTTAGTCTAGACTTCCAAATCAGATTAATTCATTCTCATGACAAAAATCCCTTTGTTAATTACCAATTCAAGACTAATTCCCATTAGATGAATAAACAATCAACAAGCATAAGGTTCCAAGTCTAAAATGACCAGACAGCCTCTTTGTGCATCAAAATAAGAGCTAAGAAAGACTGAATCTTATACAGAAAGATAAAGCAAACATCACATGATCTCAAATTTCAATTAACTTAGAACTCTAATCTAGATTAATCCTCTCATGAAGGCACTAACCTCTACACTAATCCATTTTCAAACCAAATCATCATTTGTGAAATATGAATCAATGAGCATTAAGAAACAGTTCTAATATGTCATTCATGCATTTAACAATCATTCCCATGATGAAAAAGGCATAAACCCTTAAGTTAGCTCATTCAGGCATTTCATCAAACACCTTGTGCGTGGAGAAATGCCTAAGTTCTAGATCAAGCTTATAATGAGAGATCTAGCATTAGGATCAGCTAACTAAGGAAAAGAGAAGAGAATCTAAGCTTAAACAATCATTAATTTACATCTAAGCACCCTAATCTACACACCTAGAAGCTTAAAAGAAGACTACTCACTAATCATGATGAACACACCATTCCCTTTGCAAGAGGTGATGTTAATCATGATTAGAAGCAAAGATAAGAAGATGAGATGATAAGAAACAGACTTAGATTGATTAAATCCTTGAGATATCTCTTAACAAACTCGGTTTTTTACAAAAGGGGAAAGAGAAACAAGAGAAAACCAAGCTCTCCTCTTGGAAAAAACCCTAAAAAGCATATATAGTGTCTCTTTCGGACCGGGTCAGCCCAGGACAAAATGGGTCCTGACCCGGCTTTGATGGATAGTGGTGTGGTTTGCCACGGTCAGATGATTCTTGGCAAGACCGTGGCAAACTGACAGTGTCAAAGTTCTTGGACAGATTCTTCATGATCAAGGTTGCCATGGCTTGATTTATACCATGTCTAGTGGCCATGTCTCTTCTTTTCTGGGTTTGGATGATGAACTTCTTGGATTGCCACTTTCTTGATCTGGACCGTTTCATGTTGGGCGTGGCAAGGTGTTGATGATTCGGTGATTGCCACGGCCAAACATCAGGCCGTGCTTCAAGACCATGTCAAATCCCGACCATGACATTATGGGCGTGTCAAAGATCTTCATTGCTTGTCGTGGTCAGGTCCAAGGCCGTGCTTCAAGACCATGTCAAATTCCGAGAGTTGTCATATTATGCCACGGCCAAGCTCAGGCCGTGGCATTATCACTGTGTCAAATCATGACACTTAGCACCTTATCCACTCTTAGACGTCTGGCTGATATGTATGTCTCTCGCCTTTCTTAACTCTCATCTCACGACTCCAAATCCAATTATTCGACCTGTTCTGGGACCGTGATCTATCATCTCCAACTTTGATGAAGGGTTCGGGTTCAGATGACGTCGGCAAGGGCTCCGTTCCACCGGTTCTTTGATGCACGTTGCTTTGGTCCTTTATCCGCTCCGAGACATGTACTGCTTCTTATCGCCGTAACTTTCAGCTCAAAACTCCAAATAGGACGATCTAAAGTGTTCTGGAAACTAGACTTGAGGTTCTTGATTCTTTATGAAGACTCCGGAGGCTGAATCCTGGTGAACGCCCTCCTTCTCAGGTGATAAATTTGAGGGATCGTCGGCTCCATAACACTTGTCCGAGTCTGATGCACATAAGGTGATGGTCTCTCCATGGCTTTTGTCCCAATTGCTCCCAATTAGCTCCAAATGACCTGTAAACAATCCAAAAGTGAAAAACTCTCTAGGACCTAATGCAATTCCTAACTAAAGACAAAAGCAAAGACAAATATATGTAAAACTACCTAAATGTATGCATGAGACTCAATATTTGGACAAAAATGCAATCCTAAACACGACAGAATGTGAGTATATCAGCAGTCCAATGTTGGGTTGTCTGTCTTGAAGCTTTTACACCAGCCAGAGGAAATCTGGTGGATGCACCTGGTTTTTTCTCGGGGTTTGAAGCTTCCAACACCTGATTGGCGAGTCCGGTACTGGGTGGCATAAGGCAAGGTGTTGTGACTTGGTCCCTGATGCTGGACATGGGTGGTCCGGTGTAGCAGTCCAATATTTGCCTGGTGTATGATTGTTTGGCTCTAGGTAGATAGGTACTCGCTAGATTTGCTGTTTTTCTTGAACCACTAGGAATGACTCGAAACCACCTCCAGACGAAAGCTAACTAAATTATCTATAACTTTCATGAAAACCTTTGAAGCTAAATCTGAGTGGAAGATCTTGTCCGGTCCAATCTTTTAGGCGCTTTGGGTTGTTTCGTCTCTAAGCTCCCACAACGGATGTTGGAGTCCGGCATTGATGTCCGGTAAAATCGCGGCCTAGATACCTTCTTCTACACTGGTCACAGCTTAAAGGAAGACTAGACCAGGGTGGCGGGCCAGCGTTGTGGCCCAGCTTCAAACTTCTTCAAAACTTCTTCTTTGGTCCATTCTCCAAGTGTCTATGGCTCCATAGTCTCCAAACATCTCCAAATGTATCTAAAAGGACATGAAATGCCAAGAGTCTATAGGACTCTTCGAAAACACACTAAACCATATATGAATGCAAAAGATAAAGAAAAATTATAAGAAGACAAGGTAAAGACAAAACCTAAAATAAGGGCTAATATGGGATAAAATATATGTATATTAAATTAGAATAGGACTTTGTGAAAGTTGACAAACTTGATATTACCGCTAATTTATCTGCTAAGATACAAACATTTGGGGGATGTTTCTTGTCTGTAAGTGTCTAGTTTACAGCAAAACATTCAGTAAGTGTCTTGTCTGTAAGACAAAAGAACAACTAATTGTGTGCTAATTTAAATAGACACAATAAAAAAAAGTTCTAATTGAAATTATATTAATATATACTCATAGTTTTTACTAGTATTCACAACATGATAATGTAACCTTTATAACAATTTACTTTTTTTTTGTTAAAAAGTAAATTTTGGTATCGTTTAAAGTTACAGAAATCACATAATCATGAAATTTTTCATCAAAACTTAAGCCAATCCAAATCATTTTCGTTAGTGTTTGCTTAATATATATTTCATTAAAAATAATGTATACAAATATTACTTGGCACGCAATGTCGATTAGAACGTACATTTTGCATAGCACATATTAGAAATATGGTATAATCAGAACAAATCAACAAAACATTATCTTTATGATAGAAGAAATGATCGATAAGGATGCATCACTCTGTGTTAGGATGAAAGTTATGAGCACTCCTACTATTCCCAGAAACATCAGGCATTTAGGATAGAAGAGCGAATCACGAACATTCTTCAAGTTGACCAAAATCGACATCGAGGAGAGATCTAGTTTCAATTTTTCCACCACTAGTGGAATATCTGAAATATGCCAGAAAGGCCGACACATAACTCGGAATCTAATTTGTGAGTGCTATCTGCAACTGCTTAAGGATTTGTGGCTCATGCCATACCATCAACCACAAAAACTCACACTTTACCAGAGAAAGTCAAGGACCAAGGGGATTTTTGAGAGGGGCTGGAGTTTTTTGGGAGACGTGATGGGAGATAAAGAAGGCATCTCGGTGGATTGGGAGGTACGAAAAAGAAAAGTTTAAGAGAGGAAAATCCCTAGAGCGACTAGGGCTTTTGGATGTGCTTAAAAGTTGAAATTTTCTTGATATGTAATCCCACATGCTATTTGTGCTTTTATGTATTAAATAGTAAAAAATAAATAATGATCACACTAAATGTAGTGCAAATAGTACAACGATGTTTCCCTCTCTTCGAGAAAAACAAAACACAGGTTGCTTGTATTCCAACTAAATCTGATGACTCTCAAGATCCGGCGTTGTGCCCTTTTGATTATTTACTAGATGTAATCATTTTTGTGTTGAGATATGTTGTGATTTGAGTTTGTATTCTGTCCGACAGAGACTCTATTTCTATAACTTTGACGGAGAATCCTAAAATAGATTGCATAGACCAAGTAAGGTGATGATGCAAGCAGCTGGTTTTCTCCTTTCATTGTGCTTTTTCGTGGTTTTTGTCTATTAATGTTTTGGGTTTTGGCAGAAGCTTGTTCACTCCCATCAGGCTTGAATTTTTACTGTTGTTTTGGGTGTTTCTTTTTCAGTGCTTATTTCAGATATAGCTGATTTCATTCTTATCAATCAAAAGCAGTCTTTAAAATTGGGTGTTTCTCTGCCTCAAGAACTGAGTCTTGAGTTTTAATTTGTTAGTCTTAATTTGTTGGAGTGTTACTTCAAATCTTAGATCTGTTTTGTTAATTACAAGTATTGAGTTTTGTCTGAATCATTGTGGGTCTCCAGCGTTTAGATCCTTGAATAATCTGTCTACTTTATTAATTTTAGGATTTGTTTTTATCAAAATAGTCTAAATAAATCAAATATAAACCTGCTTCATCCGAAATTCAAATCTATTTTTTTTTTTATAAATGGGGAAAAATGCCAAAAAAAAAATTTGATGTTCAAAATATTCCTTAAACTGTCGTTGATTACTCAGAAAAAATCTCAACTTTTTATTTATTAAACCTTGTAGTCATAAAATTAGTTAACAAAAATAATTGACCAATGTTAGGTCTAAAACGGATTGGTCAAAACAAAGTTGAAGATTAAACAGAGTAGTAAAAAAAGATTGAATATTTATTTTATCCATCAAATAATTGATCAGCTAGATATAGGTGTAGTGAAATACGTCATTAATTTTCAAAGAAACTATAATTTTATCAATTATTTCTTTTCAATTTTTGGTATTTTGGATATCAAAAGATTCAATCCATTATAACTAAACCAGGCTACGCACTCTGACACTGCTAGATTTTCTACATAGATGATCTTTGAATTTGAATATATAAGTAGTACAAATTAGAAAGATATTAATCGAGAATATTTTTGCCCGTAGAAGAACAAAAAGGATAATCATGGACATTTGAGTTCTTATATCCTCAGAAGATCTAAGAATATAGAGGTTTTAAATTTGAAATATTGAAGATCTGTTTCATGAGTGAAACATATCTCTCCAAGATTCATGAAGAGAAAAGATATATTTTTTTAAAAAAAAAACTATGACATAAAATCTTAAGGAGGAAAAGAAGCATGTTCTTAAATCACTAAGTATCAAGAACTTGGAAACTTGAGTTACTAGAAGAATGTAGGAGTGAATTACCTGTGTTCAAGAGAAACATCTGCAATGATTACAGCTATCATCAAGGCCTTCATCCAGCTAAGAAGTCATCAGAAGAGTTAGCAAGCAGTCTCATAGTAACTAAGAAGAACTTTCTCACTTTCTCAGCAGAAGAGTTAGCAAGCCTTTGAAACAGATTTCCAAAATCCTTCACTATTTGACAAACGATTATTTTCACAACAGCTTCGAACCTTTGCCCTTCTTTGGTCGTCCATGATTTTGATCTGACTTCACCCATTTGATCAAACTTCCAAGTATAGAAAGCACGGTCAATTTCTTTTTCTAGAACCTCTCGTGCTTCTTCTATATGTTGTTTTATGCAATTGGTTGATCTTGGAGAAGCACAAGAACAAGAATCTGATCTTCCTTCACCGACTTTTTTGTAATGAAATTTCTTCTTTAGGCTATATGTCGGCCACACACCAGTACCCAACCATCTAAGAGTGTCGGAATCTCCAGGACTACCATAAAATTTGCCCTCCTTTGTGAGGGCAATCCAAATCGGAATTTCAGCCTGGAAACCAGGACCAATGGGAATAAATGGTCGGTTTTGCTTGAGTCAGGGGCAACATCTTTGAGAGTTTTCACACTAACTTCTTTATGGGCTACATCTTTGAAAGTCTTCAGACTAACATCTTTACAATTAGGTGAATTTGAAGGATGCACCGTTTGTCGTGAAGATAAGAAAGGATGTGAGGATGGATCACAAGATTTCAGTTTTTGGCATTTTTTCTCAAAGCTTGAATCAATCTTATTCTCTAAAGACTTTCCAGGAGCTGTAGAGACGGCATCATCACACCAAAGCTGTTCTCGTGTCCTTTTACCCTAGCAAGAGATAGAGATTGGTAGTAGGAATTTTTCAATCCTTGATCAATTCCTCAACTACTCATGTCATTGTAGCACTTGAGGTATAAATCCAAATGGAGAGATTCTAGACACTAGAATTATGAGGAGCTATCTTAATTCAAGTCTAATAAGCATATGAATTGGTAACAAGGTGATCTATAAACATAAAGCAAACAAGAACAAGCAGTAATTAAGAATTAAACAAGCAAACAAGACAAACAAAACAAAGACTCAAATTCAAATAAAGGGAAAGCTAAACCTCTAGATGTGATCATTGATTAGGGTGCTTTAAATGTGAATTCATGATGCTACGAAAACAATGCAACACTTGCAATTCTTTAGTCTAGACTTCCAAATAAGATTAATTCATTCTCATGACAAAAATCCCTTTGTAATTACCAAATCAATACTAATTCCCATTAGATGAATAAGCAATCAACAAGCATAAGGTTCCAAGTCTAAAATGACCAGACAGTCTCTTTGTGCATCAAAATAAGAGCTAAGAAAGACTGAATCTTATACAGAAAGATAAAGCAAGCATCACATGATCTCAAATTCCAATTAACTTAGAACTTTAATCTAGATTAATCCTCTCATGAAGGCATTAACCTCTACACTAATCCATTTTCAAACCAAATCATCATTTGTGAAATATGAATCAATGAGCATTAAGAAACAGTTCTAATATGTCATTCATGCATTTAACAATCATTCCCATGATGAAAAAGGCATAAACCCTTAAGTTAGCTCATTCAGGCATTTCATCAAACACCTTGTGGGTGGAGAAATGCCTAAGTTCTAGATGAAGCTTATAATGAGAGATCTAGCATTAAGCGCAGCTAACTAAGGAAAGGAAATGATAATCTAGAACCTAAACATCATAAATCAAACATCAAAGCACCCTAATCTACACACCTAGAAGCTTAAAAGAAGACTACTCACTAATCATGATGAACACACCATTTCCTTTGCAAGAGGTGATGTTGATCATGATTAGGAGTTTAGATGAGATGAGTAATTGATAAGAAACAGCTTTGGAATGATCAAATCAATTCAGATATCTCTTAATCAAAACCGTTTTTACAATAAAAAGGAAAGAAAACTAAGTAGAAGATAAGATTTTTAGGGTTTTCTCCAAAAAGCTATATATACTAAGTGCTAATGGACCGGGTCAGCCCAGGACAAACTGGGTACTGACCCGGCTCAGTTGGGTCTGGTGGCTGGTGTGCAACATGGTCAGGTGCTTCCCAAGTCGCAGGCCCAAGTCGCACAGCTATAGAAGCAGCCTTGTGCGCCATAAATCCCTTAGTCTCAGTCGCATGCCCAAGTAGATGTGTTTTGCGAGCCTTTGTGTGGTTTAATCCTCTTCCTCTCCAAGTCGCATGACCAAGAGGAAATCTGGGGAAGGTGTGTGTGTGACTTGGTCATCATTACTCCCAGGTCGCAGGCTCTAGTCGGTATAGATTGCGAACGTCCGTGCGGTTTAGTTCCAAGCGCGGCCAGCTCGCATCCCTAAGTCGCACGATTGTGAACTTAGCATTTTTCTTGCTCGGAAGCCTCAGACCTTATCCAGTGATAGCTTACCCGCACTTCTAAACTCGCAGCTCAACTTCCAGGCATTCATCTTCAGGCCTTGCGAGTTAACCAAGTCGCAAGACTATCTCGCAGCATTCAGGGCTCCTCGGACCACTTCGCATTCAGCAGAGAGTAACTTCCAGGATACAGGTCCGAATGGTGTGGACAGAAGACTCATACATCTTCAACTTTGGTGAAGGAATCTTCGGCGTTTGGGAAGTGGAAGGTTTCCTGGAGGGCTCATCTGTGCAGTGCATTGACACGATCAGAAAGAGGCTTCTAGACATGCGTCCATTCCGGAAACGTTATCTTCTTGCTCATAGCTCCGAATTAAATGATATTAGACTTTATGGAAAGAGGACTCAAATATCTCGGATCCTGATGAAGGCTTTGTAAACTGAATCGGTCTGGAAGTGCATCGGCCTTCGCATTCTTTGGAGCTCATCGGGTCGGTCCAGAACGGCAGCGAGACAGGTGTGCCTTCCGACGAGCTTAACTCTCTGCTCACGCCTCCAAATCCTATGATTCCACCTGATCTGGAACCATGATCCAATCTTCTACAACTTTTATGAAGCACCCGACAGCTGAATCGGATCTGAAGGTTCCCCGGACAGGCGATCATTTAAGAGTATCGGATTGCTCCGGAATGGATGCGAGAGAGGTCTGTCTTCCGGTGACCGTATCTTTCAGCTCGGTGCTCCAAATGCCTTGATTCAACCTGTCCTGGGTTCTTGACTCAATTATCGCCAACGTTTCTGAAGACCCTGTAAGCTGAATCGGCCGGCAAGATCTTCCGGTGACGCGATTTCGGAATTGTATCTGCACCCGGGATTTTTGGCCGAGAGACTTGACCGCTGTACGTGTTTTTGGCCGAGAGAGCTACCCGCGGGAAGGATTTTGGCCGAGAATCTTCGGCCATCAGTACATCATTTTGCCGAGAAACCCAAAATTGCTTATTTTCACCATTTTTGATAATTTCAACTCCATTTCTTCATCTGAATCACATCCTCCACTCCAAATAAACTCCAAAAGCACCTGTTTAACACTTCAAAACATGCAAAACTGTCTTGGACCTAATGCAATCTCCTAAGTCCTAAAAAAATGCCTAAAGACCTAAAATGCATGCAAATGAGACATGATTTGGACTAGAATATGTACATTAAATGATGCAATTTATGAATATATCAACTCCCCCACACTTATCCTTTGCTTGTCCTCAAGCAAAAAGGAACAAATGAGAGGAAAAGGTTGAATGCATTGGGAGCTCATTTTTTCTTTGAAAGAGAGAAGTGACCACTAAGAGAATTCATGAAGCTTGATATGCTCAAAGTTTAATCCCTAAGCTACTCTGCAAGAGCACAGATGTGCAGTTGTAGTATGTAGGGGTCGAACCACAGAGACAAGAGATCACTCAATAAACCTTATAGAGATTGAATTACGCTAAGCAGAAATATTGTAAATAAATAGCAATGCAACAGAATTAGACTAAGCAGCAATAAAAACGGTTTGTAAGATTCAGATGGATGGAGATTAGGCTTAGGGAGTTTCTCAGGAAATCAATGCATGCAGATCAATCGATTAGTCAGGGTTCAGGTTTAAGCACAGTTCTTGAACTCGAATCACAGAATTATAATTAACCAACTTCCGTTGTGAGAATTATCTAAGTCAAAATCCTAGAATTCCAAATTCCTTTGCAAACCCGAAAGATTTAAACCAGCTTTAATGCTCAAGTTCGATATGTTCACAAAGTATCTAAACCAAATTCCTTTGCGAATAGCTACTTTGCTCACCCTAGGTTCTTTCCAGTTATTCAATTACACTTCCGTGTCAATTAAGCAACCTAAGATCTAAGTTCTAGGTCGCCAATCCAGAATTAGCTTTAAGAACAACCTATGGTGAAGAACTAAATAGATTATGAACCCTAACTAACCAATCAATCTAACATCCAATGAAATCCTTTATGAGAACCCTAAACCTAACAAGCAAACTACTCAGACATGGAGATTGAAGCAATAAGCATGATTGAATAACTTGCAGTAAGCAGTAAATAGATTAATAAACAGGGGTTCGAAATCTTCTCTCTCCGGAACAGAGTTTCAGACTTGTCTCCCCAAAAACTCTCAAAAACAAAAAACTCTCTCTAAGAAAATCTAAGGTTAACGTAAAAAGGGAATAAAAATCCTATATATATCTCTAAGACACGTTTTGGGCTTCCTTGAAAACGTTTGGGCCCAACTCCTTCTTCAAATAGGAAACAAAATCGCCTTTTCCTTATTTCTCTAACAAGTGTCGCGCGTCACTCTCCATGGTGTCGAGCGTCACTAAAGCACAAAATCCATACTTGACGAATTTGATCCTGATTAAGCTCCAAAGTGCTCCAAAGTCTCCAGTTAAGCTCCAAACGTACCTATGACCTGAAAAGACTCCAAAAGACTCGAAAGACACTAAAAAGACTCTATAAATAAGACATATACCATGGTTAAAAACCATAAAAACCATGATATATCAACTCCCCCAGACTTAGCATTTGCTTGCCCTCAAGCAAACAGAACACCAAACAGGAGAAAGAAGTTTGAAAACACAGAGACTCAACCTTTCATTGGAACATCGCTTTGACCGTTCACCCTGCAACTTAACTACTGCTTCATCATTCCAAATCGAACCACCATGTACTTCTCCGCAGACATTCACAGCTTTCCAGACTAAATCCAAAATTTCACAACATTGTCCATAAACCCTCATCGCTGGATCTCACTGATGATTCCAATGCCCAGAACCTTCTAGATTCTTTCCCAATACTCAAACAAATCAGCCATACAAACTTTGGTACTTTTCTCTCCCCCAGACTTATTCTTTTCGCACACTCATCATCATTTTTTTATGGCATATACTCGATAAGGGTAAAGCTGCGAGTACTGATGGTGTTTGCCACCAAGTCCCCAAGTTGTCCCCTTACCTTGTATCAAAGGTTTTCAGCGAATAGTGGGGTCATGGGAAACATTCCTACCCCTCACTTCCTTCCTTTGTGTGATCATTCCAACTTAGAAGTGAAATAATGGGATCATTGGAAACATTCCTAGCCCTTCACTCCTAAGCGAAAATCATCTCAATCTTTTTGCCCTTTTTCTTTCTTTCTTAGCTCGTCACAAGGGAGAGAAATCACTTCATTAAATTTCACACAGGCTTTCATTGATCAAGTACGAATGAGGAATCAAGCTCTAAGGCATTAGTCACATCAGCGAGTTAAAAGTGAAGTTCAGTACTTAGCTCAGGTTAGTGGATTCTGTTGGAAACATGGACGCCTCTAGTCAACTGGTCAGCCTTTGGATTTTTCATTAGTCGGATCTAGTCTGAATTTGCAGCAGTGGTCACTTAGGTGAAAAGTCAGCACAATAATTCCAGGAAAAGCATCATGATCTCCAACAGGTTTTGACTCAAAAACGTTTTGACACAACTGACTCTTAAGAAAAACAAACACAATGTCAGCAACTACCTCCCCCAGACTTGAATAACACTGTCCCCAATGTAATCAAATCCGAAGTTGGTGACAAAAGAAAAGAAACAGAGAAACACAGGAAAAACAGATAACTTACCTGGCTGCAATGATGGTGACGCGCGACACTGATGATGGTATCGTGCGACACTTGTTTTCCTCGTACCGAATTGCAGCAGACCAATCCGAATTTCTGGTTTGACTCCGGTTTCCTGATTTCCTAATTTTTTTTTTTTTTGTTTTTTTTTTTTTTGTTTTTATATATAGAGAAAACAAGTGGCAAGCGACACCGAAGGTAGTGTCGCTCGACACCAGCCTCTGCTTCACCTAAAACACGAAAAGAAAAACGAAAATCACTGAAACAAAAGACTTATTTACAGACTCACCAGTGGATTGCCTTCCACCAAGCGCTTGTTTTAAGTCATTAGCTTGACTTGATGGCGATTCAAGCAGGAGGTGCACCATCCAGAGGCACGATATGTCCATCCGGAATCTCAGCTTTGGCCCAGTAGTGCTTCACCCTTTGTCCATTGACTGTGAACTCCCTGCTACCATCTGGTGTGAGGAGGACGATAGCACCATAGGGGCGAACCTCTTTGACTATGAAAGGAACTGACCATCGAGAACGAAGTTTACCAGGAAACAATTGCAAACGAGAATTATACAGAAGTACCTGATCATTCGGTTCGAATTGCCTGGAGAGGATTTTGGAATCGTGATACGCCTTGGTCCTCTCTTTGTACAACTTCGAATTCTCATAGGCATGGTACCTGATTTCGTCCAACTCATTCAGTTGTATCAGTCTCCTCTCTGCAGCAGACTTGATGTCGAAATTCATCAGCTTTATCCCCCAGGCTGCTTTGTGTTCGATCTCCACTGGAAGGTGACAGGGCTTTCCATAGAGCAGGTGGAAAGGTGTGGTGCCTAGAGGTGTTTTGAACGCTGTCCTGTATGCCCAGAGTGCATCGTCCAACTTTGCAGCCCAATCCTTTCGAGTTTTACCCACTGTCTTCTCCAGAATCTCTTTGATCTGACGATTCGAGACTTCGACCTGTCCACTCGTCTGAGGGTGATAAGGAGTGGCAACTCGATGATGAACTCCATGCTTCCTTAGGAGTTTTTCGAAAATCTTGTTAATAAAGTGAGAACCACCATCACTTATAACAATTCGAGGCACTCCAAATCGAGGAAAGATGATGGTCTTGAACATCTTAAGGACCACTGAAGAATCGTTGGTGGGACTGGCAATGGCTTCGACCCACTTTGAGACATAATCAACAGCAACCAGGATGTACTTGTTCCCATAAGAAGAGGGAAAAGGACCCATGAAATCGATACCCCAGCAGTCGAATACCTCAACCTCAAGGATGAAATTCTGTGGCATCTCATGTCGTTTGCTGATCTTTCCTCTCCTCTGACAAACATCGCACTGCGAGATGAATGCATGTGCGTCGCGAAACATGGTGGGCCACCAGAAGCCTGCTTGAAGAACCTTAGACACTGTTTTGAATGTTGCAAAGTGTCCAGCATATTCGGATCCATGACAATGAAACAGCACTTCTGGAACTTCTGACTCTGCAATGCATCTTCTGTAAATCCCATCAGAACAGTGCTTGTACAGATATGGCTCATCCCAGTGGTATCTTCGCAGCTCTCTCAGGAACTTCTTCTTTGCATAGCCCTTAAAGTTCTCAGGCTCAGCCTCTGCAGCGAGATAATTGGTAATATCGGCATACCAAGGGCGTTGGGTAGCGGATACAGCAGCTGAACTGGTCTCAGGAAGTCTGTTTCGAATTTGGGAGGTCTCAGTGTTCGCCTGAGAAAGGTGACGCGCGACACTAGTGGTGGTGTCGCTCGTCACTAACGTTCCTCCAACTCGAAAAACCTGCAATTCTTCGTCAAAACTGCTCTGGGACTTGGTTTCCACATAATACACATTCTCTTCTGGCAGGAAATCGTCTATGGGTACGTCGTCTTCAACCCTGATGCGTGAGAGATGATCTACCACACCATTCTCAACACCCTTCTTGTCCTTGACCTCAATATCGAATTCCTGAAGGAGTAACACCCATCGCAGCAACCTAGGCTTCGCATCCTTCTTCTGCATCAAGTATTTGAGTGCAGAATGGTCTGTGTGCACAATCACTTTCGATCCCACAAGGTATGGCCGAAATTTCTCAAAAGCAAAGACCACAGCCAACAGCTCTTTCTCAGTAGTAGCATAATTCCTTTGAGCATCATCCAGAATTCGACTAGCATAGTAGATGGCATGAAGCTTTTTATCCTTCTTCTGTCCTAGAACAGCACCAACAGAAAAATCACTAGCATCACACATCACCTCAAAAGGTAAATTCCAGTCAGGAGGCTGCACAATGGGGGCGCTTATCAGGGCATGCTTGATCTGTTCGAACGCAGCAAGGCACTCATCTGTAAACTCAAACTTAGCATCTTTGCAGAGCAGAGCAGTAAGAGGGCGTGCAATCTTGCTGAAATCTTTGATGAAGCGACGATAGAAGCCTGCATGACCCAGAAAACTTCTAACCGATTTCGCAGAATCGGGTGGTGGCAAGCTCGTCATGACGTCGATCTTCGCACGGTCCACTTCGATACTAGCTGCAGAAACCTTGTGTCCAAGCACAATCCCATCTCTGACCATAAAGTGACACTTTTCCCAGTTAAGGACCAAGTGTTTCTCTTCATAGCGAGCCAGAACCTTGCAGAGATTATCCAGACAGTCCTTAAAAGATGATCCGTAGACTGAGAAATCATCCATAAAGACCTCCATGAAATCCTCAATCATGTCAGTGAAGATGGACATCATACATCTCTGAAACGTCGCAGGAGCATTACAGAGTCCAAAGGGCATCCTGCGATATGCGAAAGTGCCGTATGCACATGTAAAGGTGGTCTTCTCCTGATCGTCTGGGTGGATAGGGATCTGGAAAAATCCTGAGTACCCATCGAGGAAGCAGTAGTAGGGATGGCTTGCAAGTCTCTCCAGCATCTGATCAATAAAGGGTAATGGAAAGTGATCTTTCCTGGTCGCTGCATTCAGCTTCCTGTAATCGATGCACATCCTGTGTCCAGTCACTGTGCGCGTCGGAATCAACTCATCCTTGTCATTCTTCACAACAGTAACCCCTCCTTTCTTAGGAACCACGTGCACAGGACTCACCCAGGCACTATCTGAAATTGGATAGATGATTCCAGCTTCCAGCAGCTTCATGATCTCCTTTTTGACGACGTCTTTCAGGTTAGGGTTCAACCTGCGCTGGTGCTCAATCGACGACTTCGACTCATCCTCCAGGTGGATTCGGTGCATGCACAATTCTGGTGAGATACCTGAAATATCATCAAGAGAATAGCCAAAAGCTTTGAGATGCTTGCGCAGCTTGTTCAGTAGTAAGGTAACCTCAGCATTGTTCAAAGAAGAATCGATAATGACTGGATAAGTAGAATTAGAGCCCAGGAATGCGTACCTTAGTCCTGCAGGGAGTTGTTTGAACTCAATCTTAGGGGCTTTCTCCTCACTCCAGTCGGATAACTGCTTCACCTTCGCAGGAGTCTCAAGCTGTTCAACCTGCGATGCCAGCTGCATCGCATGCTCGCTGGAGTCCAACATCTTTGAGTAAGATGCTGAAATTTCGTCCAAGTGTTCGGCCTCAGAGGCAAACGTGGTCAGAGCTCTCTCAAGTGGGTCTGTAGGCAGCATCTCATGGAGAAACTCCTCAGAAAACTCTGTGAGAGTATCGACATAGAAGGTCTGACCATCGATGGTGGGCTTCTTCATCAGCTTGTCCATGTCAAAGTTCATCACCAGATCTCCAACATTCAGAGCAATCCTGCCTTTCCTGACATCGATGATAGGACCTGCTGTAGCTAGAAAAGGTCTCCCAAGGATAAGAGGATCTTTAGGCTCCTCTCCATACTCCAAAACCACAAAGTCAGTCGGTATCATGCAGTCTCCAACCTTGATTGGAACATCTTCTAGCACCCCTTCAGGTATCCTTGTCGAACGATCAGCTAGGATGAGGGAGATCCTTGTTGGCTTGAAATCAGTCATGCCGAGATTGACAGCTACCGAATAGGGCATGAGATTAACACTTGAACCCAGATCACACAGCGATCTCTTGAATCTCTCTGTGAAGATAGAGCAATCCAAGACAAAGCTTCCTGGATCAGACAGCTTCTCTGGAATTCGGTTCTGAATCACTGCACTGACTTGCTCAGATATCATCATCACTCCCTGTTCATGGCTGAGATTATTGGTTACCATTCGCTTCACATAACGTCTGATGACAGGAGTGATTTTTACAGCATCAACCAAAGGTATCTCAATCACAAGCTTTTCCATCAGAGCTTTGCATCGTGCATCATCAAGCTCTTGCTTGGACTTCCTAGGGCTCCTTGGGTAAGGAACTTTAGGTTTGTAGACTTTCTCCTCTGCAGATTTCGGATTCGGAATATCAACAGCTTCGCTCTGCAATTGGTGACGCGCGACACTAGTGATGGTGTCGCTCGTCACCGGCTCTGCAATCTCAGGAATTTCTTCAGAATCTTCTAAGTCCACGACTTCAGGTGCAGGAGGCGTCTTCGTGGGCTCAGAACTCAGATTTTTACCACTCCTCAACGTGATAGCACTGAGGTGATGCCTTGGATTGGTGTCAGTCTTCCCAGGAAGAAAACCCTCTTGCCTTTTAACAGAACCTGCAGTTTGGGCTACCTGTGTATCGAGCTGCTTGACATGGGTGTTCAGAACTTCGATTTTTCCATTCAGATCGAGGTAGAGAGCATCCATCTTCCCATTAAAGTCCACGGTGAGCTTCTGCTGACCTTCCAGAATCTGTTCCAGCATAGACTTCATCTCATTGTCAGGATTTTGAGGTTGAGATGAAGGAGTGCTGTAGTTTCTGGAAAAACTGTTGCTCGAAAAAGGTTTCTGGTACTGAGGCTTAGGCGTGTAACCAGAGAAGTTCTGATTACTGTTGAAGGTATTCCTCTGATTGTTTCCACTGTAATTTCCACTGTAGCTTCTGTTACCTTGCTGATTACCAAACCTCTGACTCTGAAATCCTGATCCACTGACAAAGTTGACATCCTCTTCCTCAGCTGCATCCTCAGGTTCGAAACTCTCCACCTCCTGTGCGAATCTGACAGATTTCTTACCCACTAAAAGGCTGTGCACAGAATCAAGTTTAGCTTTCACCTCAGCGATCTGCGATCTATCCATGTTCCCAGCTTGCTTCTTTCGCTCTAGATCTGCATTCTTGGTGCTATTGCTGGATGCCAAGTTTTCGATGAGCTCAACAGCTTCGTCTGGGTATCTGGTGTTTAAGTTCCCATTGCTTGCTGCATCAAGCGCCATCTGATACCTCCAGTCGATACCTCTGAAAAAGATACCCAGCAACTGCACATCGCTGAAGCCATGGTGAGGGCAGTCTCGCTGGTACGATTTGAATCGCACCCAAGAAGCCTTGAACGCTTCAGTAGGGTCCTGAGAGAAAGTCGAGATCTTAGTCCTCAACTCCTCAGACCTAGCATCGTCGAAGAAGTTGTGCAGGAAGGCGTTCCTGGTCTCCTCCCAAGTGGTGAGTGATCCTGGCTCCAACTGCTTCAACCAGTTAGCTGCTTCTCCAGCAAGAGAGTAAGGAAACAGCTTGCAGAGGAGGAAATCATTGGACACTCCATTGTATTTGATGCTGGTGACCAAGTCCTCAAACCTCTCGATGTGATCCATAGGGTGCTCATGAGAGTGGTCATGGAAAGGATGCTGACCCACAAGAGTGTAGTACACAGGCTTCAGCTCAAAATCGTTCCTTTGAAACGCAGGAGCACGAATCGCAGAACGATTTGCATAGAACTGCTCAGGCCTGTTGTAGTCTCCAAGTGTTCGTCCACGTCCAGCTGCAGGTGCAGGTTCCCTTACATTCCGATCTTCTGGAGCGTTCCTCTGATGTGGAACGATCACAGCATTACCACGCGGTGCAGGTGGTGGATTCTGGTCAACAACATCCACTGGTAAAGGAGCTGGTGGAATGATGTTACCATCTCCATCAATCCTTTGGCCTCTCGCATTGCACAGATGACCCTCTCGGTCTCTCCAGGTTCCATCATCATCACGAACAAGTCCATTGGCGTTTTCCATCATTGCCGGATCTCTTGCTTTCCGCCTCGTTCGCTCTAACTCAGCTAGCTGTTCGTTGCTCAAATTCACTAGCGGGATGTCCTTGTTGCTCCTAGTTCCACGAGTATGCATAAACCTGAAACACCAAAAACAAAGAGAGAAAACGAAAATAAGTAAACTAGGTTAAAGAAAAGAAGGTGTCGCGCGACACCACAAGTGGTATCGCTCGACACTAAGTCGAAAAACTTAGTCGAAACTCAAAAACTAGGTTTAATGGCGAAATCAAGTCCCCGACAACGGCGCCAAAACTTGATATGCTCAAAGTTTAATCCCTAAGCTACTCTGCAAGAGCACAGATGTGCAGTTGTAGTATGTAGGGGTCGAACCACAGAGACAAGAGATCACTCAATAAACCTTATAGAGATTGAATTACGCTAAGCAGAAATATTGTAAATAAATAGCAATGCAACAGAATTAGACTAAGCAGCAATAAAAACGGTTTGTAAGATTCAGATGGATGGAGATTAGGCTTAGGGAGTTTCTCAGGAAATCAATGCATGCAGATCAATCGATTAGTCAGGGTTCAGGTTTAAGCACAGTTCTTGAACTCGAATCACAGAATTATAATTAACCAACTTCCGTTGTGAGAATTATCTAAGTCAAAATCCTAGAATTCCAAATTCCTTTGCAAACCCTAAAGATTTAAACCAGCTTTAATGCTCAAGTTCGATATGTTCACAAAGTATCTAAACCAAATTCCTTTGCGAATAGCTACTTTGCTCACCCTAGGTTCTTTCCAGTTATTCAATTACACTTCCGTGTCAATTAAGCAACCTAAGATCTAAGTTCTAGGTGGCCAATCCAGAATTAGCTTTAAGAACAACCTATGGTGAAGAACTAAATAGATTATAAACCCTAACTAACCAATCAATCTAACATCCAATGAAATCCTTTATGAGAACCCTAAACCTAACAAGCAAACTACTCAGACATGGAGATTGAAGCAATAAGCATGATTGAATAACTTGCAGTAAGCAGTAAATAGATTAATAAACAGGGGTTCGAAATCTTCTCTCTCCGGAACAGAGTTTCAGACTTGTCTCCCCAAAAACTCTCAAAAACAAAAAACTCTCTCTAAGAAAATCTAAGGTTAACGTAAAAAGGGAATAAAAATCCTATATATATCTCTAAGACACGTTTTGGGCTTCCTTGAAAACGTTTGGGCCCAACTCCTTCTTCAAAT